GTTAAGTGAATCTGGCTTCCACATTGATTTTGCTTGTCAAAAGGTTGCAAAAAGGTGATCACTTGACCTTGGGACACAGCCACCAGCTACCAAGCATCGTGCCAATTTTTTTTGATCAAATGGTCATGGGGATGCTATAAAGGTCGTAAGTGTGGGAAATGGTCATAAGCCACTTTTTTCAGTGCCGTTGTAACTTTGAATGGTCACTAAATGAACTGTAGAAAATTGTGGACTACCTGTATTGAAGTACTGATTCATAAGATGAAACTTATCATTGGTCTCTATGGCTATAAAAAGAGAGTAGACCGAACCATCTTCTCCCTCCAACTCTCCGCACACGTATCCCTTCCTCCACCACCCTATTTCTGCAAGCAAGCGTTTATAAAGATTAACATTGGGGAGAACATTGTTTGAGCAGCACATTCTCTTTCTTCTGCTATACAATGGACACCCACAGACAGACAGATCTGTGGCTGCTCCACTAAGTCTAGTAGATGAATGCACTGTTTGCACTCTCATATAATTTTATGCAGTGGCAAACTTTATGAGCAAGCCGTATTAGACATGACAGTTCAGTAGGGACGTTTTGTCTACTTTACTCTGATGTGAACATTTCAAACAGTCACCTCAGAATGTGGGGCTCCAACAGCAATTCTTCATTTGCATAAGGAAAGTAAAAAGGAGCAATACCAGGTATACAAGCATGGTTTTGTGAATCTGTGAAAGTTGGACCATAAGGAAAGCTGAGCACCAAAGAATTGAGGCCTTTGAACTATGGTGTTGGAGAAGACTCCTGCGAGTCCCTTGAACTCAAGGTGGTCAAACCGGTCCGTCCTAGAGGAGATCAACCCTGACTGCTCTTTAGAAGGCCAGATCCTGAAGATGAAACTCAAGTACTTTGGCCACCTAATGAGAAGGAAGGACTCATTGGAGAAGAGCCTAATGCTGGAAAAAATTGAAGGCAAAAGAAAAANTATTAGATGCAGGAAAATACTTTGCAATTTGCATTTAGACAAAAAAAGGTAAAGGTTTCCCTCCCCTAGCACATACATATGTGCTAGTCGTTGCTGGCTCTAGGGGGCGGTGCCCATCTCCGTTTCAAAGCCAAAGATGGTCATGTGCCCGGCATGACTAAATGCCAAAGGTGCACGGAATGGTGTTACCTTCCCACCAAGGGTGGTGCTTATTTTTCTACTTGCATTTTTACATGCTTTCGAACTACTAGGTTGGCAGAAGCTAGGACAAGTAACAGGAGCTCACTCCATTACACAAAACTAGGGATTCGAATCGCCGAACTGCTGATCTTTCTGATCAATAAGCTCAGTATCTTAGCCACTGAGCCACCGCGTCCCTCTATTTAGACAAATATTAAGATGCAAAATAAAAAAAACCTCCCACAAAAACAATAGAAGCTGTAGAATATAAGGTATTAATTACTATAGAAGACAATCAATACACTATCAATAGAACCAGCAACCAGCAATAGACAGGTTTGGAGATGCAACATGCTGATACACAAAGAGAAGCAAAATACTAAATACAAATAGCAGCAACAATATGCCCTGAAATTGGTGCAATATAAATTGGAATGCATTGTGTTATCTAAAAGATACTAGCTAACATCATCTCCTTCTCAACTATGCACCTATATTCACTGGTGTAGGATTACATTAGTATGCTAAGATTACTGACAGCTTCTAATCTTAATTTCTTCCTGTAGTCAAAATATCCAATTACAGAGAAAAAAAAGAAGTCTCATACCATTTGTTAAGAAACACAAGCAGAAATTTGTTAATGTTTGCTTGCTGTAACCCACTGTTTTAATTTTTAAGAACCCCCTGTAATCTATTTATTCAGTTTGTATACCACACAACTCCCCACCACATGTTGAAATAAGTGACAGGTTTGGAAATACACTTTATTTTTAAGCCTGGCATTTGCTTTGTAGCACTGCTTTCTTATTTATTTTTAAAAAGGTATTTTGAAATACTGTAGACATCTTTGCAAAATCCAAGGAATTTGCCAATTGGGTGCTTATATCTGGCCTATAGAGCTTCCCTGGGAATAACAAAGGACTACTTCAAGGTGTCTCTGCCAGAAAAAACGGAGCTCAGGAGCCCATTTTCACTGGCAGAGTTCTTGGGCCCCAAAAGGCATCCCCAACATTAATGATGTTGAGCTGTCCACATCTCCCACAGCACCCCACCTTGGTCAAATACAACACTGATGCGGCCCTCAATGAAATCAAGTTTGACACCCCTGTTTTAGAGACAAGTCACTATCTTACTAAATTGACAACAAATCATCCAAGTTCTGCTATCCCTGTGTTGTTAGAGCAGGACACTTATTTATTTATGAGAGGTTTAAAGGTAGGAATAGTAAACATCTGACAAGCCAGCATTTCTTAATGCCATTTTTTAAAAATATATTTTTATTGTTTTTACATTTAAAACATTGCAGCACCGCGAAGTCATAGTGACCCTACAATCACATTATATACAGATACTCTCATCCAATAACTGTTAGGCTACTTAATACATTATCTATCCTTCTATCCAATCACATTGTTTACAGTTTGTTCCAGTCTTGTCACCTTGTCTTATACCAATAATAAAATTTGTTCCAAACTTTATAATATTCCTTAATCCCATGTTTACAGTCCCTCCCCAGTACCCCATCCAATCTCCCTGGAACCCAAAGCTTCCTATTTCCATTCCTGCCCTTGAGGCAGAGGGAAAGACCTTTCTCCTTCTCCTATAACCTATAACCTTCCAGAATGTCAGAAACAAAGTTTAACTCCAAACCCAGGTATATTGCTCATTTTGGTGTAACAAATTATCATTAGCCTACGTACTTAACAAAGGGAAGTGGAAGATGGACTGAAATTTACCTCTCATTTTTCCTAGCTTTCTTCAGCTGCTGAACATAAGCAGAGCATTTAGATTTAAGGAATTGTAGGCAAAGATTAGAGGATGGAACTCAAGGGGAAGAAGTGATAGCAAGAAATGGTATGGCTCTAACTTCAATCATCTTCAATACCAGAGACAAATGTGGGTCAATGTAGAAAAATGAGGAAGATTAATGCTATTCCTTCATTTCAGTTCTGTCCATTTTTTCCCCCAGAGGGCATGATAACATCATTATCATAACAAGTGGGGATGGAAAGAAAGAATCACCAAGACTTGCATAATACAAGGTAAATTCAGTGAAATTGCCAAGCAGAAATTGCTCATACAAATGTACAAGCCAAGCTGTTCAGGGAGAAAAATTGACAGCCCCTCAGGCACACGTTTGAATTTTATCTTCATCCATGCTAGAGACCTATTTACAATTCTCGCAAGAAACAGATTCCTTCCTAAACCCAAGAATATTTATTTTCCTTGACAAGACCGTAGCCACTGCTTCACCTTCAGAAAGCAGGTGCTTTTCCTGCTCCAGGGAGTGGCATAAACCCATCAAACATGAGATAATTTTGCCAGTTTTGTTTTTCTTGAAATGAAATACTGATAGCCTCATCAGCTAAGCAGCCCTCACAGAGAATATGCCAGAATTTTAGTAGAACACAACTACCGTGTTTTCTCGAAAATAAGACAGGGTTTTATTTTCTTTTGACCCCCTGAAATAAGCACTTGGCCTTATTTTCAGGGAGGTCTTATTATTTTTGAGGTGCAGGAGGCACGAGCATTGTCACCTCATGGCTGCTGCTGTGTTGCAATATTTTCGTGGAGGGCTTATTTTTTGAGGAGGGCTTATTTTAGTGCATACACTCAAAACCCCGATTGGGCTTATTATCCGGGGAGGTCATATTTTCAGGGAAACAAGGTATCTACCCACTTGGGAGGTTCAATATTAAACAATAATGGTTTTACATTATAATTATAGCTGGACAAAGCACTGAAGGGGTGTTTTATTTTGACAATGCTTTATCAGAAGCACCTCCTAGAAACATCTTCGCAAAGAAAAGAGCCTCCTGCTTCTACAGTGTCAAGAGAAACTGCCACTTTGTTTTGGGTTATGCTATTTTCATAACCTCTTCTAGCATTTGTAAGCTACAAAAAATACTAGAGGTGGCTTATGTGTATGTGCAATGCATTGTAGAAACCTTCTCTCTCCACTGGAAGTGATGGAGAAGGTTCCTGGAGCAATACAGTGTCTTGAGTCAAATCCCATTGCCTCTATGTCTCAATGCCTCAATGGACTGGACATCATCTCCAAAAACTATGATCACCACACACAGGTGTAATAATATTGTGCCCATGTATGGTGCAACATCACAATTGTTCCCTATTGGGAACTTAATAAATATGTTCACCAATCCATATGCAATTATGGACAATTACTACATAAGATCAAAGTACTTTTAATTAACAGGCCAACATCTTCATCAAATTCCCATACCCAAAATATATTAAGTATTCAAAATGATTCAACAATTTGAATCCATGCTTCCAGTCAAACTGACAGGTCAAATCAATTCAATCATGTAAACTGAGCTAATTTAACATATCAAATCAAATCGTGGATAACTTGACAGATAAATAATAAAAACTACAAAATGTGGACACCTAACTTCTTTGATTCTGAGGCATACTATCTTCACACCAAGCACATCCACAAAGCAGACAAGAGTTTTATTTTTATAGTAGGACTTATAGGACTAAAGAGCAGATTCTTTAGTCAACAACTGCTGCCTTTATCTATGGTTGCAGAAGCTTCCTTGATCCAAATATCTTCATTTTGGTAAAACTAAACAGAGATCTCTTAGTAAAAACCATTTCAGTGCCCACCAAATAGAATTCTGTTCACTCTGAAGATAACATAAACTGTTCTTTGGTGGTTTCTAAAAATTATCTTGCAATGCTTGAGAAAAACTTTATCAGATTATGAAATAGTAGCTAAAATTTTAAAACATGCTAAGAAAAGATTGGATCTTCTGTTGTTAGTGATATTTCATTTTAAAAAAATGAAATTGAGAGGTCAGTTAAAGAAGAATTAAATACTTACCCTGTCTCCAGTTAATGTCCTAGATTGTGTTATCTCTGTTCAGATGCTTGTTGGATACTAAAGGAAAGAAAATAAGAGAAAGAATAGAGGATATTTAGCAATGTTCTTGAAAACTATACAATTGTGTTTCCTCTAGATGTTTTTATAGTTAACATGCCTGTCTCCTGTTTTTAAAGATAAATCACATGCAGTATGTGAGTTCATATGACTCAAGTATTTTTTATGATCTGTTAACTCCCAAAATGTGGTTTCCACAAATTGTTTTCTTCAGGAATCCTGGAATCACACAAAAGATTCCCCATTAATAAATCTTGGCATTTTGGTGATGCCAATCAGTGGTGGGTTCCTACCGGTTCTGCCGAACCGGTAGTGGTTTGGCAGCCTGGGTCGCTGGAACTGGCAGCAACCCAGGCCTGTCCTGCGCCCGAGCCGTAGGCGCCGCCATCTTGTTTTTCAGTTCTGCACATGCACAGAACAATTTTAATTGCACTGTGCATGCACACAGCGCACACATGAGCAAACCACTTTAATAGGAAATTATAATGTAACACAAAAATAGAATTAACTGAGTTTTATCTTCTCAAAAACACCTTCTTCCCTTCAAAGAGAAATCACTATCCAACTTCACTTATATGTATGACATGGCAAACCTACTTTGCGTCATTCCATTCATTATGACTCTTAATTATAGCACCAGCTAGCAAAGGGATGGACACCCCTGATGTAGAGGACTTAGAATATCTGTCTGTCCTTAGTCATCCCAAGATATCCTTTACCTGACATATAAATCATGGATATATAAAATATGTATAATCATCCCCGGATAATTCCACCCATTTTGTCAGCTGCATGCATAAGATAATTTAAAAAGTAATATTTTCATCTATCCATTCATTTATTATCATGTTCAAATATGACCAATATTCGAAGTACTTTATGGATGAAATGCTAACAAACACCTGCATAAACAAACACCTTTCAACATAACACAAGAATACTCATAACAGTATCATGCCTGAATATTAATGATCTCCTATTTCCTACAGCTTACTACTCTTATTATTATCAGAATTGTAAGTGGTATACTTCAAAATTGCTGAAAGAAATGTCATGAGCACTTGTGAGTCCTGCATAAACAAACACCTTTCAACACGAGTACTCTTCTAGCCTGAACAACAAATAGCATACCATACATTCCAATTTTATGTGCATATGTTATGTTACCTTCTCATTATGTGTAGAACTGCATGACTTCTGCCAAGTATCCCCCAAGAAGATGCTGGAAAGCAGCATTTGACCTCTTGTGGGCATTGCAGGTTACAATGCAGAAGCCACAAATAATAAATGCTGCAAAAAATGGCTGTAAAATTAGGCACGGTCACGTGATGACCTGCTTAACAACCATTATGACTTATGACCATAATTGTGGGCTTAATTATGGTCGAATGCTGAGGACTACCCGTAATTTGCATCATTTTCATTGGCTATATCTCTCATTCATTATATCTCTCAGTAACATACCTGGTGATTCTCTTTGCTGTGATATTACAATATCATGACTGTTTTTCCATTCATCCAACAGCATTCAGTTCATGCTACTGTAGATCCAATGTACTTAATGTGCATTCTTAGAAAAAAAAAAAACAGTGGTAATTACTACAGATGGTGTACACTAGATGTGTAATGAAGAATGTCCACGTGCACATTTGGAAAAATGAATGTAAAGATCACCTTAACAGCTCTGTTATACAGCATTTTACAGTAGTTTCTATATACAGAAAGCAGGTAAATATATCACATGCTTTTTTTAAAAAAATTCAAAATTCTGCATCACTGTAGTACACAATTCACAAACCTAATACTTCAGAAGTCTTGCTTTTACAAAGAGTAATTACTTATTTACCCTGCCTTAATTTTGCAAGCCATGGNAATAAGCTCCTAGATACAAGATGGAGCCTCTGGTGCTTCAAATGGCAAAATGCAACAGGAAGGGAGGAAGGCATGAATTGCCATTTACTAAGCAACTTACCATTTTCTTTCTTCCCACAGCACAAGCCTCCAAATGTGTTCTCTGGCAGAACACAGTGAGTAATCTACTAGAGCTCATCTGGTGGTATTGCCTTCATCAACTCACATATCAAAGCAAGATTTCCAACTGTATCTCTGCTTTTTATATGGAACGGAGGCTGAAGCAAAAGAGTCAGCAATTTTTGTTTTAGGGGACAGTGAATAACAGGAGCTGGCACTTTTCCTGTCCTCTCTTCCTTCTGTTAATTCTACAAAAATCAAAACCTTAATTATCACAAATAGACCCTGGTTTCTACATCACTGGAGCAAATCATTAAAAGAAAATAATCATATGCACATGTATAATGAGAAATATTAAGTACAATAGATTTTTTCTCACAAGGGTTCCTAGGATTTCAATTTAAGGCTGCAGTCTTATTGAAAAGAAAATAAATTCAACAGGGTATTACATCAGGATAAGCAATCTTAGGTTATCTTAATGTTACTCTAATCTTCATTAATCTTAGTGTTCCTCCTGTATCCAGCTTTTCCTTTAAGGATTTTTACAACCAAAAGAGCCTCCCAGGGCTGTTAATATTTAACACACAGTACAACCGGTGTTATAGCCAAGCTCTATCAGAGAAGGAGGGTGACCATTACACGATTTAAAGGGACCACACAATTTCCTAGAATTAAGCGTAGCTATCCATCAAAAGTACACAAACGTCCAACTAAAAACATCCAACCTTCAAAAAAAACCCGCGTTCGTTTCCAAAATGAGACGATTAATCGAGAACGGGGCTAAAAGCTCCGGGACAGATCACAGCTGCCCACCGCGGCCACCAAAGTGCCTGGAATTTGGGCGTGGCAGCCACTTCACATCTCTCTCAGCTACAAAAAAAACGAGGAATTGGCTTCCGACGCTTAAAAGACCTGGGAGCCACCCGCCGCTCACACACCTGCCCGAGACTCTCCAAACCACAAGGAAGAGATACATACACAGCTATCCCGCCCAACGAGGTTGGCCCCGCAGCCTCTCTTTTTCTTCAGCTCAACGAAAAGCTACGCAGCTCACATCTGAGGAAAAGTGAAGCCCTGGAGAAACCGCGGGAACTCTTTTAAAAACCTCGTTCAAGCGTCAGCATCAAATCTCTCTCCTCGCCGACTGTCAGCTCTGAGTTGTCAAGACCGGCCTCGCATCGTACACTGGAGAGAGAGGGGAGGGGGTTGGTGGTGTTGTTTCTTTTGGAACAATGAAGATTGAACGCCCCTCGGGCACCAGCTCCGCACCTTTCGAATATTTGGAAAATGAAAAAAACGGCGGGGACCCCCAGAGAAACACAGCTGCAGATGAACAAGGCGCGATTTGCCCCCTGAACGACTTTTTCTGGGAGTGAACTCACTGGAGCCACCAAACAGCTGGCGCGCTTTCTCTCTCTCTCTCTCCCTCTCCCTTTCTTTCCAGGCCAATTTGCCTTTCGGCTACTCCAACCCCTGCCTAAAAAAGCCTCCAGGTTTTAGAGGCTAGAAAAACACGAATTCAACCGGGAGGAGGAGGAGGAGAAAGACAGTCGATTGTCAAGGAGGGGTGGGGGTTGTGGAGAGAAGTTCAAGCAGACTTTAAAAACAAAAGGTACTAAGGATCAACAGGGCACAAGGAACACCTGAATGCCTGGCCGAGATTCCCTCTCCCCACCCCAACCCCCCATTTCCAACAACCGGCAGCCAATGAAGGCCGAAGACGCGAGGGGAGTAAGAGCGCTGATTCGCCGCGCGGAGGAAAGAAAGAAACACACCCCTCTCTCGGGGTAAAGGGAGGAAGATGGGGGCGCCGCGCAAGGCGGCGGGAGATGAAGAGCGGGAGGAATCCGCGAACAATCGCAGCGAGAATAAAGACGAGAAGGACGTGGGGTGGGAAAGTGAGGGGGGGTTGAAACGGAGAAGAATTTGGGGTAATTGGGCGGGGGAGGCGCGGGGCGCGCGGGAAGACCCCTCCCCCTTCTCCCGATTCCTTCCCCTCATCCCCGCGCAACGCCGAACTCCACCGAGACCCTCCACGTGATCTCGCAGCCTTGCGAGCCTCCGGCGAGACCGCGGCCGCCCGCCCGGTTGGGGCGTCTACCGATTTAGCCCCCGTCGGCGGCGGTGGGAAGGCAGGCGAAGTGAGAGGAGAAAGGGGGAAAGCCCAAAGGCAGGAGGTGTCATGGGGGAAGGGGGGCTTCCCTTCGGGGGTGGGGGTGGGATGAGAGGGAAGGAATCGACGCCATGGCTAACCTTGTTCTCTTTTTTTTCTCCCCCCTGAGTAATCCGGAGTCAAGACGTGTCGCTGGCCGAGGAGAGGTTCATCGGGCGAGGACAATCAAAGGCTGCTCCGAGCCTCCTTTGCAATAAAAAAAAAATTACAAAAAGAAAATAAATGGAGGCGGGGTGGAACAATGCAGCGCCTTGATTCCCTCGGTTTCTCCCCCCCCCCTCTCTTCTCTAGGTGTAAGGGGGCAAAAAAAAACCCGTCCCCCTCCTCGGAAAGCGGTGGTGGGGAGGGGAAAAAGCAAATAGTAATAAGCTGCAGCAGCAGGGAGTGAGCTGGAAGGCGGGAGGGCTGGGAGCTCAGCGAGAGAGGCACGTCATGAGCAGCAGAACCAGCCTCCGAGGGAGAGGAGGAGGAGGCGGGGGTGGTAGGAAAAGAAAAGGACCGTCTATGAAACCGAACAGCCACTACGCGAGCTGCAACCGCCAGGCTCTTAACGAGAGTCGCCTCCGTAGTAGTCAATTGGCAGACGATCGCGGAGCAGCCCCACCTGTTTACAAACGAAGGGCATCCGAAGCGGCTCTGTCCAACCTTTTCAGGTGGTATCCCAGGTGAAAAACAAGGAAGCGTCTGTCTATACTGGGATCATAATTCGATTCCGGGCTAATCTGCATTGCTTCCTACCGTAGTAGCCCTTTTTTCCCCCTTCCACTCAGAGAGATGGAAATCTGGTAACCCCGCCCACAGCTACGCCCGTCTCATTGTTCCGTAAACCAAGGTGAGCGCGAGACGACGCCCCTAAATCACACACCGTCCTTGGCTGCTGAAGTCAACTTCGGATGGGAGGGGTGTTTTTTGTTTGGTGTTGCCAGCATGTGGGAGTCTTACAAGGTTGACTTTCTGAGGTTCTAGTAGGTTAACCATCCGGTCGTCATTGCTTTCATATGGCTTTTCTCGACACGTGAAAATGCCCTATACTATAGCGTCTGCAGAAATTGTATGAAACCTCTTGAGTTGTTTCTCGTTTAGGAATTAAAACAACAACAACAGGACAACATCTATAATGTAGAGAGATTGTGCCAGTTCACACTCAACCGAAAGGGAATGGGTTTTCTTTCCAAAATGACAATTGTTGAAATTTTATCAGAATAAGACAAGCAGATGTGATCCTTGCGACCATTCGAAGACTTTTCTGATTTAGATATTATACTTTTTAAAATAGTTTGCGTTGTTGTCTGCTTGAAGGTAACAAACACAGTCCCTTATGAGTTTTAAGTCCCTGTTAGCAATAGTGATTAGTGGACATGAATATAAATGCACATTGAAACATTGACAATACATTTCTTATCTTTCAAAAGGGGCAGAAGCATATTCCAGGTTTAGAGATACAATAGTAGTGAAATGGCTGTTGTTTGTAAAGCAAGCTCAGTCTAGAAGGGGAAAGTATTTCACTCTGAAAATGCAATCATACCATACAAATGTCAGTGGTCTCCATAGCATCCCTAGAAATGCCAGTAAAGAGCAAAGGCAACTGAAGAGCGTGGGCAACTGACAGCTGTGTGACAGAGCCATGGCCATGACATTAACTCGCCATGTTTATGTGACATACGCACCTATGATTAATTAAATCATGGTTTCTTCAGTTTTCTCACTTTTCTGAGAACAATGACATGCTGAACTCTGCAATAATCAAATAGACTGGATTTGCAGAACTAAAACATGATTTAGTTGTTTGTGTTCTGTGTGTCATGCCAACACATCTCTACCACAAAGTCAATGCAAAGAATTGGGTAATGGCCAGGGCATGACTATGGAACATTCCTTGTCATATGTGCATAAGGGGGGGGGAGGTCAAATTCTCCCCATCGGCAATGGTTCTTCACATCTTGAGTTTGAGCCTTGAGCCTTGAGTTAGAACCTGCAGAACAGTCAGAGATAACTTGGATGGCCATTAATTCAAATTCACATTGGATCTGAAATAATTTTTCTTTCTCAAAAAGATGGAAAGAACATGCATGCTGGCCCCTATAAGAACAGATCTGAAATACTGCTTGGAATCAAAGCATTGCCTACACCTATTCTCAGATATAGATTGAGAAGGTCTACAACAGCATGCAAGAAGCTTTGATCTTTAATCATCAAAGTCTCCAATGGCCCACGGCTTGGAATACAAAGAAACTGCTCAAGGGTGTAGTGAATGCTTTGCCTCTATGAGAGACTTTGAATTTTCCCTTACTGCTGAGGAAGAGTACAGCTTGTGTAACTGCAAGCTATTTACATAGTTTGAATCCATATTTACAATTTAGGATTCCAATAGGCCTCCAAAACAGCCCCCATTTTCATATACTTATCAAAATGTTATATTTTTGATTAGTGCTATGTTCTTTTGCCTATCTGTGTGTATCTCCTGCCTTTATTTTATATAAATAACTCAAAGCAGCAAACATAGTACCTCTCTTTGCCTATTTTCCCCACAACAGCAAAAATCAACCCCCCTCAGGTGGGTTGGGCTGNTATTGTATTGTATTGTATTGTATTGTATTGTATTGTATTGTATTGCATTGCATTGTATTGTATATCAGAGTACAAACAGATTTCTGGATTTGGCTCAATGTTGCTGAATTGAAAATGAATCTGCGTCCCAAAGAAGAAAATATAAGAACATCTAAAAGAAACAAAGTGTAGAGTTCTTTAAAGTTATAGCACACCGAAGAATCTATTAGAGATATTCAAATAGATGCGCAAATCTAAAAATCCAACATTACCCCAGAGGCAGAAAAATATTAACCTTTTCATTTCACAAATGGTAAAAAGCGAAGGCATGGCGAAATCGTACAGCTTGCCAAATTTGAAGAAAGAGACCTCAAAGCCAATGCCTGTAGCACCTTAACTTCTAACCTTCTAGCTGTGACACATCAAGAGATGTTTTCCAATGGCTGGAATCAGAAGTACAGCTGCAAATGACATTTGTAGATTAAAATAATGTGGAAGAAAAGAATACAAGGAAGCGGTCTCTTCCCAACGGATCAAAGGGACATGTCTAGCAATCTCAGCTTTAATCACGGCAATAGAGTCTTACTGAAACTGATGATGCAAAATTCTACTTTTTCATTAGGAGAAGTCTTGGGAAACACCAAGGTCAATAGAGAGAGATGCACAGAGATTGTTGCTGTTCCGCACAGGAGGGTGGAAAAAAAGGAAGATACTCTTAATTCTCATCTCTTAGAATCAAGGGCTTTATCAACCAGCAATTTGCACAAACTAATGCAGAAGCAGCCTGCAAAGCACCCGGCATCAATCCACCCCTTTCGAGATGTATGCATACTCACTGCAGCAGTAATTATTGTGAATGTTTCATCCCTATTTATAGAATATGTCTGATTTAATGCCTCCATTACCATCCAAACTTGCTGTTAAAGCAATAAATGGAACCCAGCATTTGCAGTCAAGAGCTGAGAAATATTTTGCTGCCATCAATAGTCTCACTGACAAAGAAGGCAAAAGGGAAGCGTGCACACACACTACATGGAAATATAAATCCCTGGGGAAGAGAGCACGAGTACTGCAGCAGCTCCTATTCTTCATTCACAACAAAAGCAGTGAAGGCAACCAGGGACAGAATTCCATACATGCAGAAATTATCAAAATGCCTCTCTCTCTCTTTTTAAATAACCAGAACAAGGAAAGAAAAAAAAGTATGCATTGGGAAGATTTCTGAGAATCTAGGTAGTTTATACTGTATATTGACTTTTAAAAACAGATATATTTGTATGTTGCCCAAAGACATAGCTATATAGGAATTAGGAGTGACAGGTAGAATAATCCAGATGTTTTGTACTACAGCTTCCATTGTTTCCACCCAATGCAGCTAACAAACCTGCTTATTAAGTACAGCAGAAGCTATATAGTCTGACATCTCAGCGCCTACTGACTGGGGAAGGCTCTTTCAGAGCAGGCTTGTATTATGAAAAACTACCACCAAGGGCTGTCTTTATCCAACAATACTATGCTAAGAGTGGAACAGTCAGAGAATTGTACCTCAAACTAAAACCAATGCATCTCCAGAAGTGTATTTACAAACAAATACTCTGGCTCCAGATTACCAATGGCAAGTAGAAAAAAACAGCAAGATGTCTACTCCTGAAACTGCAAACTATAACCAAATTGTTTTCTTCACCCAAGCAGTTAAGCATTAGCTGTTCTAAAGGCCAAAAAAGTTGTTGCTACAAAAAGTGTTACCATAAAGCCTTCTTGCAAAACCATATTACTGTACACCATCTGAAGCAGAGAAAAGATGGGACAGTAACTATTAGTTTTCAGAAAACTAAAAGGAAATGTGCCATATGATCAGTTTATTCAGTAACATCAAAGGAACATTGGGCACCGTTTACAAGTAAATGCACAACTCTTAACAAAATTGTCAATCCATATCTTTTTTTTCTAAAAAAAAAAAAAAAAGCTTTTTATAAGTCTTAAAATAAGCTCATAGACATGAAAGGAAAATGAGGAATCAAAGACAAAGCCAGCAAGTAGATCAAAAGCAATCAAGCCACACCCAAATGCCCACTCAGATCAATAATAAAATTGCAAATTGTAGCAGTTTACAAATAAATGATGCTGAAACCCAATATTTCTAGCTAATTGGAAGACAAGATAAATTATGTCACCTTCATTAATTTAGGTTGTAAGCTTAGGCACACTAGTACTAAACAGCACAACTTATTTTTTTTAATAGCTATATATAAAATATACTACCATACATGAAAAATATGTTTTTCTGACATTTTTTTAGAGGTAACTGCCCAAATCTATTTTTTTCATGGCACTGTCTTGTCTGTAGGAAAGTGTCTCATTTTTCCAAGTCCGTTAGGAAACTTCCTCTTAAAGATATCAGTGATCTCAGATATTTAAATCTGTATCTTCTTACTGCAGAATCAAAACTGAGACCATCATGTCCTTACATTAAAACAAACACAAAGACACCTGGACTGAAGATACAACTTCAATCATAATTAAACATACTCCCTACACCTACAGCAAACAAATAAAGTTGCAAAAACTACAGAGTATGAAACTTGATGAAAAGGGAAGGTAACTAGTTAAAGAAATGGGATTTTAAAAGGCATGCTTGCCTTTAATCTTCCATGGTATGCTGTAATAAATTTGGATGAAAGCTTAGAAAGTATACAGCAAGGAAAATGTTTGAAATGTATACTTCAAACTATATTATATAATAAAAAACAAATGTTTTGTAAACATAAATGTTAAAAGAGGAACTTCAAAGTATATTGCCTATGTTCGTAAAACATTACAGTTCTTAGGAATCCACAGTGCTATCACCAGAATCCAGATTTTGATATATGATTGTATTGAAGAAACCAACAACAACAAAAAAGAATGTGAGGGGATTATACTCTCAATGTTACCCTCTCAATATTCTTTATTTAACTACTGATGCAAGCTAAACTTCTGAAAATCAG